GGCCCCGGAGCCTTGCAGAGTCCCTGCAAGCCGCAGCATCATCACAGGATGCTCTTCCCTGTATCGCAACTCACCTTTACCTGGTCGGGCAGGTGTGAGGTCTCTGCATCCAGAACTTCACTGCTGGAGGGGGAAGGACGGCTGTTAGAGCTAAAGGAAGCTGAGTCTCCTCCCCATGCATCCCTCTTCAATTCCTCTCCTGAATTTTAGCCCAGCTCTGCGACACATGGCTGCATGTGATGCAGAGGAGAGGGACAATGTGCTGCTTGCACGCCCAGGTCGGGCCCAGACACCAGGGTGAGGGGCTGCAGGGAGCTCCCTGGCGCTGGGCACTCCCCACCATGCGCTCCCATCAAATGCAGAGAGAACTGGTGCAGTGCGGTGATGAGACAGTAAGTAAAGGATCTTCTTCTGGGAAAAATCAGTGCTCCAGAGGGAGAGGAAACCAAGGGTAAGGCAGGTGGATAAGGCAACTCGCTTATCTTTGGGTGCAGAAGGAAGAAGTGGTGGGTACGAACCTGGGGGTGTCGGGAGTCCCTGCACAGCACCGCGGAGGAATGGCCACGAAGTTGCCCGCAGCCACCAGCCCGGCTCGGCACGGGGTGTCTGCCTCACCTCTGCGCTTTCTCCTGTACATGCAAAGGGCGACAAAGAGGCCGAGGAGGAGGAGGAAGCAGAGCACTACAGCTGCAGCCACCATGCCGGGAATCAAGGCTGGCTCTGCGGAGATAAAAGGCAGAGCAGGGAGAGGGTGGTGGGCGCCGGGACACGCTGAGGGCAGGGTGGGGAGCTGCAGGACTGGGGTCCCCAGGAGCAGCATCCCGTTGGGCTGCACTCACCGCGCAGGGACACCTCCGTGCCCTTTCCATGCTCAAACAGCTCATTGCCATGGATAACCGATTTGCTGAACTTCACGCAGTAATAGGTGCCGGCATCCTCAGGGCGAAAATCACGGATGAGGATGGTGAAATCTGTGTCAGACCCATCCTCAACTCTTGTCACGCGGGGGTTGGACACCTTCTGGTCATAGATGGTCTTGTTCTCACTGCCCCAACCCTTCCACAAACT